TTTTGTATACTATTTCAAATGAATAAAGAAAAGAAGAGAGAGAGAGAGAGAGAGGTGAAGAGCACAAAATATGATTATCCTGAATATCCGAATATTGATTAAAATTAATCAAGAAAGAAAAAGATTGGATGATAATGGAAATATACAAAATATCCGAATATTGATTAAAATAAAGATTTAAGAAAGAAAAAAAAAACGATGAAAGATAGTTTAATATAGCTAGCTTAAAATGATTTGTGAAAGAGAGAGAGAGAGAAATAAACTGAAATCATAATATCTGAATACCTAAATATACCGATTCAAATGATTTGAGAGAGAAAGAGCTAAAAGAGGAACTGAATATTTAAATATTTGAATATCCGAATACTGGTTAAAATGATTGAACAAAGGGAGAAATTGATGAAAGATTTAAATATTTGGATATTATTTTAAGAAAATCAGAGATAAAAAATTATTTGAATATTTGCATATTGATTAAAATGATTTGTGAAAAAAAGAGAAAGATTTGAATATCTAAATATGTGTGTATTCAAATACTGTTCAAAATTCAAATAAGAACGATATAAAAGTTTGAAAGATGTTGAGATAACATTACAAAATATTAATCATCTGAAATTTGATAATCGAGTATAATCGAAATATATTAGGGAGAAAAAAGAAATGGGATAATTTAATGGCTAATGTTATCAGGAAGTTAATAATTTCTTAAACACATTCTAATCATCACCGAAAAAACCTTGAATTTCGAAACAATCCTAATCCTACTCATTTATAACTTGAAAAATTAATTACCGCCTAATCATTATCTTACACTTGATTTTAATTAATTAATCAAAGACATTGCAAATAGTGTGGTAATATGTTATGTGATGGGTTGTTATCATTCTTATCAATTTCGCTATTATCCATCATAAATTGAATTGAAATTCTAGTAATATTTAGCATTTATTAAATGACATTTGTAATACTAATCCGGTAAACCGGCTGAGACTATCATCATCATTTGCAGATTTATTTTCCGGTGGTGGTAGTTCAGAATGTGGCTCGGAGGATATCGATGATGATTGTGATGAAACAATTGATGATATTGGTATATAAAAAGAAACTTTTTTTTTTGAGTACAGATATTTTTATCTTTTGACTTTTTGATTAATTTGGAATTTTACTTTTGATTTAGACTAATTGATTGAAATTTTACATCAGTAATTAACTAAACATTTTAATCAATTTGTATATTTCAAAAATTCAAAATTAATTAGTATAAAAATCAAAAATCAATTAATCACAAAATATTGTCACTTTTTTTTCTTTCTTTTTTTTTGTTTGTAGCTCATTTAGCAATTATTTTTGTTTTTTTCAGAAGAATCAAATTCAAGAGAACCACAAGAACTGGGTAATGGTGAATCGTTATTAGCTAATAAGATTGATGATATATCAGCATCAGCAAAAAGGAGAGGACCGAGAACTACCATTAAAGCTAAGCAGGTATTATTAGTTCACCAATAACTTATTACTTGATATTGCTGCTAAAATTTTCAAGGTAAAATATGCATTTATCGATTTCATTTCATGAATAATAATTCTCCAAAAATACTATGCATTTATTTGTATTACATTGTTTTGTAAGCTAGTCTACTGTAATATTTATTTACAGAATATAATTATTTATTTCATCTTATTTTTTTTTTATTTCAATTTACAGTTGGATACTTTAAAAGCAGCCTTTGCTTCAACACCAAAACCAACTAGGCATATCAGGGAGCAATTAGCACAGGAAACCGGTCTTAATATGCGAGTAATACAGGTTTATCTTTCTACATTTACTTTGTTTATTTTTACTTTTAAAGTTTGCAAAATATTTAATCGACTACTGTATTTAAAATCGGGTGCTGTGTTTCAAGGTACTGTATTAAAATACCGTAATTCTTTTTGTTGTTATTTTTTTCATTTTTAAGATTTACAAAACATTTCATTGGTTATTGCACATCGAATACAAGATCGTATATTAATTACGTCTCACAATGCTTCATCTTAAATACTTTCGTTTTTGTTTTTACTCTTTAATTTTGAAATTTATAATGTATTTAGTTTACTTACTGTATTTAAAGTCAGATGCTGTGTCATACAACAAATTACAGTATTTGAAATATTTCATGTATACGTTAGCCGATATTTTGGATCGAAGCAAATATTTGTGTTATATTACAGTACACATTACTGTCCTCCTTATCATATCATTCTGTCACCAAATTTGATTATTACTTTGTGCAAGAATTTGGTGGGGACTTTATTTCAAAATTTTTTAAGTTATTCAGAATTGATTAGTTACTATTCACGTAAAATCTTCAAATTTAAATTAATTGGACCGCAAATCTCTTTTTTATTTATTAAGTAATATGTCATTGTAACTTTTAAGTCCTTAACTGAATAAGTTAAATTAAACTCAATTTTTTAATATAAGAAAAATGATATTACATATTGTTTGAAAAAGAAGGAAAAAATGGTAAATGAGGGAAAAAAAAGTTGTAAAAGGGATGAAATAGCAAATAACTTGAATATTTAATAGAAGTTAGCATTTAAGCAAATAAATGAAACGATTATAAAATTTCAAAAAATATTTGAAATGAAAATTCTTGAATTAATTTATGAATTTAGATCATTTGTTCATTTTGTAATACGAAATAGCTTTTGCTCCATCTAATCATATTAAATTTTTTTATGATTTATTCGCCTTTTTTTAAAGTATAAAATTAAATTAAATAAAAATTATAATAAAATGCTTGTGCTTAAGTTGTTTCAATTGTTGCAACAGTTAATTATTCATTATCCATTATCATTGTCATCATCATTATCATCACCATTATCATTATCAAATCATTAATGCTGTTTTTTATGAATAAGATTTAAAATGTTTAATAAGATAAGATAAGACTAAAAAGAAAGGAATAGAGAGAGAGAGAGAGAGAGAAGG